CTGCAGAGTGATGCGTCTGTTCACTCACAAACAATCTTTGGTTGAATATAGACAGCTGCTGCAGCAACCAAACGTCTTCCCAGACAAATAATCAAGTCCAGTTGCGTTTTGATTTAAAACTCCTTTAGGATACCATGACCTGGACAAATGAGAATATGCACAGGCTGATCAAACCTTATAGTTCTCCTTCCTCTCTTTTATTAGCAAAAAGCAAAAGAACATGCACTGCTGCTGTCACTGGTTCAATCAGCTGTAGCTAATTAACATTAATTCAGTACCAAACCAAATGAAGAGATTCATTAGTGCAGAAGTTTAACAAATCCAGGTGTTTCACCGACTGGGAACCAAAACTGTACTAGCAATCAGAACCCGAAATCTAAGGTCCTGCTCGATCGATGGTTCATTTACACTGTCTGTCTTGGCCTGATTTCTTTAGAAATGTCTGATATACAAGTTTAGATTTGACAGTAATCACATTAATGAATTGTAACGTGGTTTCTCACAGTAATCTGGCCTCTTTTGTGCATGTAAACATGGTTAATGATGCATTTGAAAAAGAGTCTTTGATGGTTTTTTTTTTTTTTTTTTGGATGCAGCCTGTTTACTGACTCCTCTGTCCTCCTTCCAGCTTCATAGCAGACAACCAGATGAACGAGGCCTGCCTGCTGTTTGCCGAACACCACGGCTCCTACATCGTAAAACACAACCTCTGTCGCAACTTCCTGCTGCACCTCATCAGCATGCACGACTTCAACCTGGTCACCACGCTGACCATCGACCAGGCTATGGCCCGACTCCGCCTCATCCAGAGCCAGGTCGCTCAGAGAGAGAAAGACAGGGAAGAGGACGAGGAGGAGGAAGAAGAGGAAGAGGAGGACTGGGAGACGGCCGTGGAGTCCCAGCCAGAGCCGGATCCGGATCCTGATCTATCCGAGTATAAACCCTATAGTGATGAGATGAGCAACAGCTGCCTGGAGAATGGAACCCAGCAGCAGCAGCAGCAGCAGGAGAGAGGAGGAGCTGTGACAGAGCGAATGTTCAGCAAGCAGAAACTCTGCGGCTCTGGTTCGGTTTTAAACTGACAGCTCGATCAGAGAGCCACAAAGATCCCAAACAGGACATGAGTTTGGAACAATCGAGGCTACAAACCAGAATCAACAAAAAAAAGGCGACAGACAAACAGGTGTTAAAGCACACACAGGTTACTGCAGGGATTATGATTTCAAGGGCAGGTTACACCGGTAACGGCTGAACTTTTAATCATGAAAGTCCTTCGTTTTTCACACGTTTAAACTGAAGATGCACTTCAGAGGTGTTTATCATTACATTACACATGAAGGTGAGGAGTTCAGAAAACTTGAAGCTTTGAATCATAATTATTTTCTCATTTGTCAGAAATACAGTGGTGCTGCATTATTTCCAGACAAAACTATGAAGCGAGCACAAAATAAACTAAGCCTTCAGTCTGGATCTGTAGGAACACATTTTTAGATTTAAAGAATAAGGCTGCGATCTTCTATATTTTCAGTGGTGGATTAATACACACTTGGTGCTGTAGTGAGTATTTGGGGCAGAGGGACGGTGTTTGAGGGACAGAAATGTATGTCAGGCTTTGATACGCTCACAATACTGTTGTTAGTAGGAAACATTAATTGTTGGATTGGGTCTTTTAGGGATTTGATGACAGAAAAATAAAGAATATAACAAGACATTTGCGCAAATTTGGGATTTTCAGTTCAAACTTTAAAATCTGTGTTCACATTTTTCTAAGTTTCCAAGTTTTTAACAGGAAACACTTATGAGATTGTTTATGTTTCAGTGTTTACAAAAAAAAAAAGAAGAAACTGTAAAAGCTGATGATTGTTTATTTTCTGCTCACTTAGATCTATAGATGCAGTTTTTCTCCTGGGCTCAAAACATCAACCACACTCCAGATGTTATCCTCTGTCGCTCCTTGAACTTAATGTACATTTTCAAATCTGCCTCTGCACATTCTCACATCTTGACCTGTAGTTTGACGACCTGTTTTGATTAATTTTGTGCTCACTCCGTACTTTTGCATTTTTTGTATTCCTCAGTGTGACGCACCAATCAGTGACCTTCCAGACACTCTCAGCTCCACCAAAGGTTTTCATTTATCATAGTGTGTGTACATGCATGTTGGCGTCACAGGTGTCTGATCAGGCCTCCAGGCCTCTAATGAGGTCTCTGGGTCTTGGATCAGATGTCATCTCTGGACAGAGTCAACAGTTGACAGTCTGAACTCTGCCACAGTTTCACACTCATTACTGGCCCTTCATTTTCCATCATCTGATACCAGTATATATTGATTTTTACTGTATTTTTCTAAGTACTAAAGTTGAGTATAAGCCTGCTCCGACAGCTGTGTCCTGGATCAGATGTTTATAACTTGTATACTACTATGTATAATACTCCAGTTTGAGGGCTCATCTGAGTTCTTGTAACTGGGATAGCGCTGTTTACACATGCAGAAAAAAAATCAGCAGGATTCACCAAAAACCAGATCAGAACTGGGACACCTGAGTGCACGTACACATACTTCCAGCACAGTTTCCAGCAGTCTCCTACTGGTGCTAGCTCGTTTTTATTCCTCATGAACACTTGGTGGAAAACAAGTAACACTGCCAGAACTCACAATTGCTGCTTTTTCAAACAGAACAGGACTGTTCTCCTCCAGTGCTCCTCATCGTGCAGCTCCGCTCTGCTGAGCACCGGACAACAAACGGACAGTAAACTGTCTCACTTCATGCGCTGCCTCCTGTGAGATCCACAATTCAAACCTGAATTGGTTTCGAGGGGTCAACAATGCTCAACTTGTTCACGGGTGCTCTGAGAAATGCAGCCACCTTTTTGCAAAAACTGGACACATCACGAGCATCAGTGTGTCCTTTAAGTCCGTCGTCGTGTCGGACACTTGTTTATTTTTGTCTCTGTAAAGCTGAAATCAAGAAGCATAGATTGTCTAAACAGTTAGAGGTTAGACATTTAAACATTTTGTCCCGGTGCTGGTTCCAATTTCTTTAATGTGAGAAGTTGCTGCTTATTATCAACTGAATCCTTTTGTGTTTTTAGACTGTTGCTCCCAAAAAAAAAAAGAGCTCCGAGAACTGACCTGCATCTCTTTTATTTTATTGACTAAATTACTAATTTACTAAATGATCACTAATGAAAATAAGTGATTGAGGCCACATGTTCAGAGGAGAGGGCCCCTGAAACAGCACACAGGTAAAAGCACCAACATGAACTGGAGATGACAAGTTATCCTTTATATTTTTTTAATGTCATTTCGCAGCTGGTTTTTGATTTGTTTTTTCCTCCTCTTTTGTTTCTGCACCTGTTCTATGTACATAAGACTCTGAAACTATCTGTAATAAATTAGCTTTTGAATATGGTTGTTTGGAAACCTGAACACCATCTGGGAGGTTTTTGTTAGTTTCTTAGTTTACAGACCAAAGGGGATGAATTTGCTGCAGATTTCTCTGTGTTTTGCGTATCCTGTGAAAATATTTCTTGCTTTTTTGAAAAAAAAAAAGAAGCGATTTCTTCAAAGCAGACTCAGGCTGTGTCCCTGAAGTATCTGACCTGACATCGCTGCCTTCAAATGTTCAGAAGTTTGAAAGCACATCAGTCCAGATGCTGGTGTTGCGTTACAATTTAAGTTTTACTGCTCCACTTTGACCGCATTATATGCAGTATGAGCCTCAAGATGTGACCAGCTGTTGGGACTGGCACTGATACAGAAATATTTAGAGGTTTGATGGGAATAGTTGGATTTATGTATGACTTCTCATGTTGCGGCCCCGCTCTTTCAAAGCTTTACATCAGTCAGGAGCCTGATGGAGACAAATCCGGCACGCAGATATCTGGTCTGCTGCGGGTTTTCAGAGCTGTTTTTGTTCATATGTGACAGTTCTGAGTGACGTGCAGAGCACTTTTTGTTTTCAGTACAGCCCACTGTTGCTTTTTAAGGGTTTTCTGTTCATTCACATGAGACCAGCAGCATTTTGCACAAGATGAGAGGAGCCATGTCAAGAAAACAATAATGTAAAACCAGCTGAGTCAGAATGGTTTTCTATTAAAAGAACAATTTTGTACAATGGTCAGTCACGTGGTCCTTTTCTTTGATTACACGTGCAAACAAACCATACAAAATGCATTATGTGCACATACCAGACACTTGTACCAGATTAATGGACACAGTATTGACCTTTCAAAACAGAAGGAAGACATGTTATCGATAACAGGCTTGAACATACCAAAAATCAATTGCGCTGCCTCTACCATGATAAAGTCAGATGATTAAAAAAATTTAATAAAAACATAAAATGCTTTCTTACAGTGAGAGGAAGCTTAAATACATACAGCTGAGTTTTTTGGACTAGATATAATTTTAATAAGTTAATTTTTAGATTAAAAAAAAAAAAAAAACTTACATGGTAACATTCTCCTCCCACTGATACATCCGTAGCATATAAATCATTAGTGACCTTGATCATGATCATGTCATTAAAGAAATTGTCAGCATAGTTATTTTTTATTAAGCATTAAAACAAGCAGTGTATAATGTAACGCACACTGACGTAAGTTATTAAAATAATGTAATAAAGAGAGTGACACTGTAGCTGGTGTAGTGTACATCATACTCGTCTATGCTCAGGTGTCCATTTTCCCATAATGCGTCAACGTCCCGACCCAGAAATGCGGCAGAATATTGATGAATGGATTGACCAGTTAAACAGTAAGTTTGTTTTTTTTTGTCCATTATGAGCGGATGAGTTTCCAAGCGGCAGTCTCCTGACAGCAGAAAGTTAGAACTAATGTTAAACATCTCTACAGCAGGCAAGAAAAAATATTCAACACCTTTGTAGTGAAATTCAAGACATTTTAAGGCCTTTTTTTTTTGAAGGATTTGAATTCAAAGCTTTTCAAGACCTGCATATTATTTAAAAGTATAACCACAGACTCTATACAAACAACAGTTTACATGATATGATCTTTATTGAACAAAACAACAAGGATGACAGCAGTGAAAACAAATGCAACTCTTTGACCAGCAGATGTCACTGTTTTGACTGTCAAACACAAACTATTGCTTCACTGTGGTTCGGTCTATCAGTTTTTCCTCCCTCAGATGAGTAGAAGGTACTGTGAGGTTGTGTTCACTGGTTTCAGGAAATCTGTACCATCAGCTGGACCCATCCAAGACAAAACACTGACATCAGATCAGCAGAAAAATAAAGGAAACATCTCTGAAGAACGCTGGTTGGAGAAGACGTGTTGGCTGAAACGGAGCTGGACAACAACAAAAAAAGTTTCAATTGTATCTGTGATATTTAGTGAATACGTCCAACGACACCTTCCTATGTTAACAACAACAACAGTCCATGATGTGTGTTGGACAAGCATCCACCTATGTCTACTCTTATTTTAAAATCTGCACATGAAAAACCGGAGTGTCGTGAAAACACCTTAGAAGAACAGGAGTCACGTCGAGAACAAAAGACATTCAGTCAACTGAACATTTGGTTTTAACAAGAGTTAAAATGACTGATAAATCGACTGACAGAAATGTAACTGGTGACTATTTGATTATTAAAATTTATTATTAAAAGTCTTTTTTTGCCAAACATTTGCTGGTTCCAGCTTCTCCAATGTGAGGATTTTCTGTTTTTCTGTCTTAAATCATTGTAAACTGAATATTTTTGGGTTTTGGTTGGACAAAACAAGACATTTGAAGACATCACCCAGGACTTTGGGAAACTGTAACAGACATGTTTCATTATTTTCTGTCATTTGAGAGACAAAATGATTAATCGACTCATAAAAGTAATGGTTAGTTGCAGGTCGTTATACACAATTAAAACAGTTTACAGGATCCACAAAATTAATTAAAGACCAAAGGAAGAGCAGCCATGTTTTTCTGCTTTTTACAGGTCAAAACACGTCTTTCTAAACAACATCTTTGATCAACACTGACACAAAAGAGGTTAAATCGTATCCTCACATTAATCCCACCCTCGTTAAACAGCAGCCTCACACAGTAACGAGTCAGACCTTGTAAACTGGAGGCTGTCGGAGCAGCGATTATCAGTAACCATCTCTCATATTTGTGCTCCTTATAATTCAAACTCTCATCCTCCCATCAAATGGCAGGTGTTGTGAATACTGTTAGGATTGTCAATGCAAAAAAAAAGCTAAAGAGTAGATGATTCAGAGTAACAGCTTTGATTATTTTAAAGCAACAGTTCAACCAAAAACAAAGTTAAATTCTACGGCCTGGAGCGCCCCCATCTGTCCACAGTCTGCTCCACTTCACAAGCTTTTTCCGGAGCTTACAACCACATCTCTGAGTTTCTTTTGATCAAACTACAGATAATGATTCAGTTATAACATTGTCTCAATGCGTGTCTTTATCTCAGAGATATAAAAAGGCTTGTGTGCTTCATGTTCTGTCCTCTTTCATTTCATCAGTACAAGTTGTTTCTCTCAGCCTGGAGACAAAGAGGCGTCTCAGGAGAGAACAGGAGACGTTATCTCGAGATGGTAATGAGTAAATTTAGTTTTTTTTTTTTTAAAAAAAGAAGAAAACATTTCCTTGTGTTGAGATAACAAAATACTTCAACCACCATCCAAAGATAACAGGCTGGAAATAACAACAAACATAATAAAAATAATGGATAGCTGAGCCGCTCTGGGTGAACGACACTTTTCAGAAGTGCCTGTTATTGTGTTTGCTTTCACAATTTTCCAGCCTCTGCTACAGTCAAACCTGCTAAATGCGCCTCTTTCCAGACATTTCTCAAGCTTCTGATTGGCTCAGACGTCAGGTGGGTCACACTGCTTTGTGCTTGTGAGAATGCTAAACTAACTAAAGCCGTGAAAAGAAAAAAAAAGAAAGACACTATCAGAGAAAATATGAGAAACAAAAGAGAACCTGTTCTCTCAGCGCAAAGAGATGTTTGCAGGCTTTCTGTAGACTTCAGACTTAAATTAAAAAGATGTTTTTAACACCTGTTTGACTATCGTACTGGCCACAAGATGAAAGTATGATGGAAAATCAATACTGCAATACAGCTTTTTATTATCATATCACATTTTCGGTCCTTGACAGCAGCATAAAACAAGAATAGCTAATGATTTAATTAATTTAATTAATGCAAACTGGTCCTGGAGGATTTACTAATTACAAATAATTCATTTTTAGTTGGTTTTGTCAACATTCAGTTGTTGTTAAGATACTAAATGTAAAGATTTGCTGTTTTCGAGTTTGAGTTTTGGACTGATGGATAGAAAAAGGAAAAAAATATTGAAGACTTTTGTAAATGAAATGTAAGTCTTTTTAATACTTTTCAATGCTTTTAAAGAGTTTTCAAGACCTACAGATATTTGTGCAACAACACAAATGCAGTCATTGTATTATGTAAGATACAATTATCAATATGTTTTAACCATCTTTGTGCCATTTTGGATTTCAATGTAGCTTGTGGTTTTGTTCCCCAAACTGCTTCATAACGTCTCACTGGCTAACGGCTTCCTCTAAGCTTCATCGCATGTACTGTGGTGAGAATCTTCAGACACACAGGTGACACTGGCTTGTGCTTTTGGTGAACTGCCCCTTTAAACTTCTGCTGAACAGGTTTACGAGGCAAAGAAAAATACAAGAGGAGGGGTGACTTTCACAGTGACATTTTGTTTTGTTAAAATAAACTAATAATGAAAAAAAAAGGTTCAGACCCTTTAATGAGGCAGCAGCAGATTGTGATGAGTCTGCTCCCAAAAAAACAAACAACAGATAAAAACTTAACATTTATCATCTTGTGGCCTCCTGGGAACAGTGTGTGTGTGTGTCTTAACAGGCTGCGATTTTCACCTACAAAAAAGGTGTCAACTCTAACCATGGCTAAATGAAGAAAATGCATAGATAAAAAGCTGTAAACAATGGCCAACCTCATAAGCAGGCCCGGGAATCAAAAACAAAACAAACTAAAAGCCAAGAAATTTCATGAAAACAGATATCACTCCTCCCAACACAGCTCCCTCAAGAGTGAGGAGGAGCTGGATCATCGTTTAACAGTTTCTGCTCAACTGTTCACACATACAGCGGAGAAGCAGCAAGAAGCGTGGGGAGGATCGACACTGACAGGGTTTTGCAAAGAGTCTGGAAAAATCAGGATCGATCACGTCCCCTTTCCTTGAGAGGCAGAGAACCTCGCAGTCACAGTCAGTTAGTTTACATGCACACAAGAAACCAAGTCAGAGGAAGCAGGTTACAGAAAATCCAATTTGTTCAACCAGCGTTTATAAAAACCAAGTGGCTGCATCAGTGGAGGCATGTTGCTTCAGGTACCAGCGGGACAAGTATCTTAATTCTTAGCATGGAAACCACAAGCTTAACAGGAGAAAAAAATTATAGTGTTCCATACAAGGATGCAACACTACTGGTAATGATTCATCTACTCTGCTGTCACTGTGACACTTTTCCCTCTCTGAAGTCTGTTAGCAACCACGTTACGAGAACACCTGGACGAGAAATCAGTTTTCTCCAGAACAAATGCAGTTGGGAAAACGAGGTTCCTCTACTTCCTGACATGATAACAGAAACCAAGTTTGCTGAATAAGCAGCAGATTCATTTTACTGCCGAGAGCCTACAGCAACCAAGTTACTTATGTGCATGTCAACACTGAATCGTCTTTCGAGCAAACACAACTGAAAATCTGATAAATGATTTTTCTTCTTTAACTGTGATAAACTCTGTTTAACAACCTGTTGAGTTCCATAACGTTTTACTCCTCTCATCGCAAGCTCACAGCTGTTGCTTTGTCGTTGTGATGTGGTGAAGTTAAACTGTCTTCCAGGACACTGCTTGTCAGTTTTGTCCCAGGAAATTTCCATGTTTGAAAACATACATGAAAGAATTGCATGATTTCCATGTGACATGGATAATTACTGAGGAATATGATGTGCAGCTGCTGACGTGGAGAAATATCTCTGAAAGTTAGCCTTTGTTACATTGAAGAAATTCTGGGAAGTAATGACAGATTTTCCTATTTTTACCAGACTATGCAGCCGTCCTGTACGTGCTTCAGATGAAGAAAAGAAAAAAAGAACAGAAGAAAAGTTATTACACTGAAGTGTGAGGATCTCCCGAACTCCAGCAGGTTGAAGGATCCATTCTCGCTTCACTCTTTAAAACACAAGCACTTTCCAGCCGGAGTGGACGAAAGAGCAGCCGAAGAAGAGGCAGTCCACCGCCTGGTCCACCAGCCAGTCGAACACCACCTCCCTGTTCCCTGAGCCAATGGTCACCCTCAGCTTGAAGTTGCCGCCCTCGCTCAGGTTATTGTTGCTGATGGGGAAAAGATTCACCACTTCCATGTCAAAGGTCACGGCGGAGCCCATGGTGATGGCGGGCAGCTGGTTGGTCATCTCTTTACCATTTACAAATACAGCACCTGAGCGGAGAAACATGGATACGCAACTGTTACATCACTTCATGGGAACAAACTGAATAGTTTTACAGAGCTTTTTCTCACCAGTAGTGTATAGAATACTTCAGTACTCATCATATATCATTTAATCAGAGGAGTAACTTGAAAAGATTCCCTCTGAAATATGCTAAAAGAAGAGTAATCCCACCCCCCTAAGAACATTTTCCTGGAGAGTGTTTGAAAATATGCTCTGTTATCTCCATATTTAAACAATATCATGTCTCCTCCCTCTCTCCATGACGTTCAGATTGGGAACATCTTCTACACTTACTGACGAGAACAGAGCAGGCCTGCTTATACATCACTTCAATAACCCTAACCCATGTAAGAATGCCTTACATGAGCCATTATGATTCAGTGATACCAAGATATTACAGTTAGACCAGTTTTTTCTGCTATTGAGCATCAGCCTCAATTTCTCACAAAGAGCACACGTGTTGTCGTGCTTTCTTCCCTTTATGTTGAGCACATGAGAACTGTATCATCCATGTACATCAGTACCAGAAGCTGAATGGAACTGTATCATTGTGTAATAGGCCGACAGCCACTCTGCAGCAGCTACTCCTCAGTGGTGATGTTTTCGCCTTGTCTGACTCCTGCTAAACTTGCAAACAACTTGGATTCAGTAACATTAACAAAGTCACATGATTTGATGTTTTAGCATTTTTGTATGTCAAATGCTTTCCTGCAGTCAGCAAAGGAACAATAAAGACTTTACAACGATACAAAATCACAGAGGACAGAATTATCCTCACAGATAATGCATAACTTCATGTTCAACAAGTGTGATGCCTGAGATGAAAAGTCTGACTTAGACATTACAAAACACAATACAATATTTTCTAATATATTGAAATAACAAAAATGGCAATGCTTCTCCCACTTTCTCTTAACACTGCCCATGTAATAAACCATGTCAAATCATGCTTAAATAATGTGCACGTCAGGTTAGATCGTAATGTGGGCACAAACGAGATAACGAGAACACATTGTAATACTGGGTGGATCGGATTTCAGTATCCAGGTAACCTTTCCAGATACAGATCTCATGTTAATACCAGGTGCAAACAGGCCTTTGTGTCTGCGTACCATTAGTGGAAATGCAGACAGCCTGGTCTCTCTGAAGTGACTGTGCCCCCTTCTCGCTGTCCACGCACACGCCCAGACTGTCCCTCCGATCCATATGACCTGCTGCAGAGATCCTACAAACACAAAATATGAGATATACAATTACTGCGAGTACAATAAGAGTCCAGGAGAAAAGAAAAGAGTTCATAAAACTTAAAGAAGCCAACGAAACTATACACTGATTTTCATATTTGCTTCAGTAGCAGAAAAACATGTACAGCTTTACAGATAAGGAATAAATAAATAAATAAATAAATAAGTATCTGAAAGGCTCCTGGTGTATTTTCTGTATATTTGAGTGTGTGTGTGTTGTGTGTGTGTGTGTGTGTGTGTGTGTGTGAGCGTGTGTGTGTGAGCAGGTGTGAGCACGTACTTGAAGGTCAGTGTCTGGCCACAGAAGTAGGTGGGTGCGTTGGAGTAGAGGATGGGGCAGCGCGATTGGGAGGAGTCATTGCGCAGGGCAATGTTTTTCCTGCTGCTCAGGATGTAGCCCTCAGTGCCCGGACACCACTCTGTTATGATGCAAACAAACACACACACTTGTTAACGTCTGTAGTTCTTTTATCTATCTAACCTCTAAATGAATCAGAGGGGTTAAACAGACTGTATTTGTTCTGTACTTGTGTTGATAAATTACTGCAATTTAGGGTTTTCTGGGATTTCTGTGGTGTAATTGTGAAGATCTAGGACAGAGATGTTGGCACATCTTGTCTTCTTGATGAGATTGTGTGTAGGTATTAAACTATAGAGTGTACATTCCTTTTATGAGTGCTTTCAGTCTCCTTTGTGTCATGTCCCTGCACTGCCACCAAACTAGACAGAGAAATTTCATGAAAATTGGTCACAATAAAGTAGTAAAATTCCAGGCACAGTGACTGAGATGAGTCAGTCCAGGGAAAAACTAATAGTATCCTGTAGTATAGTATCCTAGCCCTGATGCACTGACGTGGAAAGTGTGTGAGCCTACAAAGAAAACAATGGGTGCTGGTGTTTTGACGTGCAACCTATGTCTGTTGTCCTTCAGTTCAAAGTTTACAAAACACAATTCCTAGTCAGTTTTTTTATTCTTGTATGTTCAAATCATTTGTAAGCCTGTGAAGAAATGTGAGAAACGAATTCTCAAAACATGGACAGATAAAACCAGAACTGCCTTTATCAGTAGACACCACTAAGGCAGGTCTCACCAACTCGTCAATCGCAATCAATTTAACGAACTTTGTGGACTGTGAAATAGTTTGATACATTTCAGATGAATGGTGCTTTGCTCGTTTTCAGAGCTGCATCAGGACTTATGTATGTGCTGTGCTGAGTTACGTCTAATTCAAAGTGATCACTTCCTGCTGCTCTGCTTCAGCTTTCAGAAGCTTTCATTATGAGGCAACTGCAGGAAATGCATTTTATTTGACACCAAAGTTAGTGGTGTCGCCACACTGCTGTTTTCCACTATATATATATTTCGATTTGCAGTTTTAATTGCACAGGGGAATTGTACAAGAAGGAAAAGCCACAATGTGCTTTTAAGATGATCTGGAGGCAAAAGGGTTTTGCTGCAGTTTAAGAGAACCAGCACATATCTTACACATCAAAGTAAACAACACCTTCCTCAACACCATATTACTGATGTTGCCTAAGATCCGCTGCGTTTTGTCTTTCACATTTGAAAGTTTGTCTTCTAGACTGGTTCTGGGTGAAGAGGAGGGTCTTTTGTTTTATGCTGTGTCTTCGTTTCTCCTTGACAAAAATTCGAAAATATTCAATGACTGCTGCTCTAGAGCTATTGAGCTATTATGTGAAAAGACCCTCAAACAGCTATTTAGTTGTGAGCATTGTACATAATGAACCAACATTTTGTGTGTCACAGCAATCCAGTTGCTCGATTCAGTATTTTAACTTTTGCAGGACCAGGTCAATCCTTTAAACCCTGCATGAGTCAGATAAGATGTCTTCACCTACCGTGCGGTGCAAGTGTGGTGTATCCTGTCTGAGGGATGCTCCAGGGGCTCCACTCGGTGCGACCCTCCCCGCGGGCGCACACCCTGAACAGATAATCCGTGTGAGGGTCCAGGTGGAGAACCAGAAACTCACTGTCCCGCCCTATGTAGGCATCCTCATACTGGCTCCCCCCACTGCCGGACCGCCGGTGCTGCAGCCGATAATCTGCTGCTGCAAAGTCCTCATCCACCTGAGGCACACATAAAACCACAAAGTTACAGGTGCTTTACATGTACGTAAACATGTTCAGTATGTATATGAGCATCCTGTGTCCCTTTCACTTGCTGACCTTGCACCAGCGGACCAGGATACTACCCGGTCTCTCCTGCAGTTCTTCTATCTGGACGGGTGGGTGGGAGGAGACGGCGCCGTGGCGGGAGACCCGGTCCCTCAGCAGCCCCAGCAGGGAGTCGTCCAGCTGGGCCGAAACACACGGCACGTCCACCAATGCTGGTACCTCTGGTAGACTGGAAAAATTCACAGACCCAGTTAGAAAAATTTTCAGTACAGTGGATAACTGCAAACTGGGGATATAAAAACATCATGAAGTACCAGTATTACTGTATAGGATAGTTAGATATGTTTTTTTGATCACAGAATGTTGTTGCACATAGCTGGTGATTTGTTTTGCGTAATTGAGGGTGTGAAGCCCCTCCCACTGTCTTGGAGGTTGTCCCGGACAACCTCAGCAGGCAAGTGGTTGACCATAGGTGGGTCATCTGCTGATCTAGGCCTTCCACATGGGCCAGACTATAAAAGCTGGCCCATGCTAACTGCTGACATCCACCTTGCATCAGCTCTTGTTTCTGCACACACAACACCTCCACAGCACACATGCCTCTCACCCAGCGCTGCTTCAATGGCCAACAGTGTATTATATCTCCACACCCCATTGTTTATTTGTGTTGCCTTTAGCTGTTATAAATTGCTTGCTGTTAGTATAACCTTTGCATGGACTCCCTTCTTATCATTCCCTGAGCTGGTCTGTGACAGGGAAACACCTGCAGTCACAAAGAGTGTTTCTGTGTCCTACCTGTCCAGTTGGATATGCATGGCCTTCTTGGTGAAACTTCCCAGTTTGTCCTCCTTCTCTCCAAGACCACAACGCAGAGCTGCTTCCCCTGGAGAGAGAGACAAGTTATATTTAACACACTTTCCTTCTTATCTGATTGGAACTGATGGTAACTATGCAGATTATTTTCTCAATCTATTTTTGAGCCCAAAAAATGTCAAAATTGTCAAATGTCTTGTTTTGTCTGACTAACAGTCCTAAACCTAAGGACATTTATTTTGGTATGACGTAATGGCAGCAAAAAGATGTGACTAACAAGTAGAAAACAAGCATCCCTTTCCTTCCTCGTGGGAAAAATAAATGTTTTGCAGATGGCTGCAGAGTTTAAGGGACCCACCCTCTCTCAGCAGCTCGTCGGCCTGGCCCACTCCGTGCTCGATGAGGCTCTGACAGTCATCCAACGGTTTGACGCTGTCTGCCTCGATAACATCCACTTCAGCCAGCAGGGTGGTCAGTCGCTCTGTCAGCAACCGAGTTGCTGCTGCCTGTAGCTCTGCGAAGTGCCTCCGCAGGGCCTCACGGGCCTGTCCTGAGCTTCCCCGAACCTACAGAGCAGAGGAAAGAGGAAGGTAAAAAAGGTGAGCAGGGGAGACAGTGGGGTCGAATGGGGTGACTAACTATCTCAATGTCCTGAAAGTTTGTTAAAAGACAAAGTTGCTGCACTTAATCTTGCTAAGGCGTACCACAAAAGTCCTCACAAAGTGTTTATGCAATTACAAACTAGACAACTTATTCTTAATCAATCAATTCCTTTTTTGGTCTATTAAAAGGTTGGAAAAGGTAAAAATGCTAAGTTTCCCAGAATCCAAGGTAACATCTTCAAATTTGTGTGAACAGCAGTTCAGCACCCAAAAATAAATTAATTTACAATGATATGATACAGAGAAAAGCAGCAGCTCCTCACATCTGGACACACATTTGGAGTTTTTGCCCAGGAAATAACTTAAATGATTAACTGATTATCAGAATAGTTGCTGCATGATTTTCTGTGGATGAGCTAATCGATTAATCCAAGTTTTGCAGCTGTATTTCACAGCTGAGATCTACCACCGTCTTAAGCACTGACAGATTTAATGCAGGAATATCTCTAAAAAAGCACCGAGTAGTGCTAAAAAGAACTAAAAGGAGTTTTTGCTGGTCAGTCATAGTCCAGATCAGATAACTACTGGAAAGATTGCCATGACATTCAGTATAGATGGGTTTCTGGTTTACAAACAACTGAAGATGATCAACTATTTTAATGTTATTTGTTTCAATCATTTTTTAAAATCATTAATTTGAGGTGGTGTTTCTGGCTACCTTATGCATGTAAATCCAATCTGTGCTTTTGGTCTTTACCAGCTCCTGAGAAGAATATCTCAGAGCCCATTGGTTCCCACTGAAGACGTAAAGCTTTAAATTATATACTTGTGGGCTGTAATTTTTAAGAAAGGCTCAGTAATTTCTGAAAACAGCTGGTCACTGTAATTACTCAAACAGGATAGGACAGGATATACATATATATTTTTTATGCAGGTCCAAAATGGGGAATAAATAGTGCATGAAACAAGCATCCAGTTTATTTGTCTGGCGCATACTTGCAATGCAGATAGTCCACATGGATTCAAATTTCTGGTTGCATGTCTGCGCCGAACATTGTAGATTTGCAAATGCAGAAATGAAATGGCCTTTCTAACATACACAGTGGTAGCACAGGGTACCCTCACTGACAAATAGCTTCTGAGGGAGCTTGCTGATTTGTCACCAGGGGGGGAGGGTATGTTTCAGTTCCTCTTTCCAAAACACACTTTTATACACAAACACACGCATGCGCGCAAACACACACACGCATAAGGACTTCACAATGAATATACCAAGAGAGCAGTGCAGAGATGGCAGGAAACGGAAGGCTGATTGACAACTGCTGCACTGATAAAGCATGGACAATATGACTATGAGAATGGAAAACACATACTGGGTTTTTGCCAGAATACACACTGAACGTTGTGCATGTGTATACGTGTGTGAGTTGCAGAGACAGGACATTTTCCACTGGCGACAATGCATCACTTCCTGGCGACTATCAGTACGACACAGACAACCAATGATCAATATTTTGGGGTTGGCAAAATAATAGTCAAACTAAAATTATAACCAGAAATCATCATATAATTTGTCAAACATGGGAGGAGACGATCTGACATCAGACGAAACAGAAATAGACACAGTTTTCCCAAATGTTTGGACGACTCCTCTTACAAATACAAGATGTTATAGTGATAGTATTGTCTGAAATTTCAAACACTAACATTCTGGTATCTCCTTTCTTATTCTCATTGTGTGTGTGTGTGTGTGTGTGTGTGTGTGTGTGTGTGTGTGTGTGTGTGTGTGTGTGTGTTTGTGTGTGTGTGTGTGTGTGTGTGTGTGTGTGTGTGTGTGTGTGTGTGTGTGTGTGTGTTGTTTCATGGATTCCTATAATCTGGTGGTGAGCCATCCCTGTTGTGGGAAAGAAGGGGGTTATGGGAAAGGAACCCCACCTCATAGTATAATGGGACAGCTGGGATTGGTAAGGGAGAGTCTTACACACACATTTAATTTAAAGATCACTTTTCACTGTTTTTCATATATATCTCCATCACAAAATCAATAAGTAGTCAATGTGGCTGCAGATTGGAGGAATTACTATCCAAAAAAACTAATTGTATGTTGAAATTAGATCATTTTTAACCCAAAGCAGAAACAAGTTGTGAACAACATTGACATATCAACTTTTAAGCTCATATGGCCTTAACAAATAGTTGCTTATTTACACATCCAGCTGCTACGAAGAAACGTTACCATTCATTTAGAGTGGTGTTTGTGTCCACCTGACGAATCCAAAGTCCAATATTCCCTCTCTTTTAAATGTGAGTTTGGTCTCCATCCACTCCTGAGGGAAATAATTGGCTCTATAGCTGCTAAATGCTCCGCTACGTTCACCAGCTGCTCTCTAACTGAGCAGGTAGTACAGAGTGGGTTTTTAGCTGCCTGCTGCAGCCAAAATCGGCAGAGAGAGAGCAATGAGAGTGAACCAAAAAAGTGAAGTTACAGACTCAACAGCAGCCACATTAAATAATATTTTTCTGATTTGTATACATGTTGAAGTAGAAGTGCACCACTAAGGACTTTTAAAGGTCATACAGATCAAATATAGATATTAAACTTGATAAACTATACTGACTTAACACTGTGTAAAAACGACAATTTGTGGTTTTACGAGGGGTTATAGTCAACAATGATCAAACTCTAGGGAGCCAGTCCACCTGAAAACTTAAGAACACTAGTTCATTCTTCAGTTTTTGGATGAATTAAACAAATAAGATACGTGTTAATATGTCAGTTAGTGCTGTTAGGTGGATTTTATTAGCCTCAGATTGAGCAAGGCTAGCTGTTTCCCCCTGTTGACAGTCTTTATGCTGAGCTAAATTGCTAGAGTTAAGATAAAAATAAACCTTTATTCAGATTTAATTTTATACATCAATCTAAAGGCGTTAAGGTTAGTTTAATACCTGAAATTCATTTGTATTTCTAGTAGAAGTTTCCATGTGGAGTCATCTTATCATGACTCAGCAGTGAATGTGTCTCAGAAGGAGAGAGGATGACTTCTTTCTCCTTTCCATTTGGCTATTTAGAGGAGGACGTCTGCTTCTCACATTCTCCTTGTCCCTACTGTCATCCTGCTGGATTGCCTTCAAACATGTCACTGGCACATTTATTTATATCAATGACTAATAAGACCTCAGTAATTTTGGATACTGACCAAAATGCGTCTACATCCCCATGTATTGGAAACAAAAATTGAAAGTTGGCATCCAGTCTTTATTCTTTAATCAGACATTTACTAGTTTTCAAAATAATTTTGACAGTATCAGATTTAGGCAAACTTCGTTGAGATATTTTTAACATTTGATTTGTTAAACAAAATTTAAATGATACCCAGCCATAGTGATCACCATTAAGAGAATATATTTGTGCATCCAAAACAAAACCCAATAAGTAATTTCACATTTCAATTTTACACTGGATAAATGATTGTTGTTAAATTAAAATGAGTCAGAGCCTAATGTTTCTGGACCAGAGCCTGGCCTGGTCCCTCTCCTGTCTCTTCCTTCATCTCTCCTCAAGTTTTTCTGTCCGTCCATAGCAACAGGAAATAGCAGCATTGTTTACTGTGAGCAGCTGGATGGGTAAATCTAGACAGCAGGAGGAAGGAAGAGATAGCAGAGAGAGAGAGGGAGAATATACTCTCCTGGGAAACAGTTGACACAGTTCATATTGCCCTGGCTGTGCTTGTGTTTATTTTTTGAGAGAAAAAGTATATTTGAAAGGTGGAAAAAATCCTCATATCTAAAGAGGACAACATTGGCTGAAGTAATATGAGCTGGTTTAACTTCATAAAAGAAGTGAACCAGAAAGATCACTCTAAAGAAGTTAAGAGCCCAAACATAAAGTGCTTTGTAAAAAGTGGTGCTGTGCAATCTGTTCAGTCCATTTCAAATGTGCAGGGGTGTGAACAGACTGCGGTACCTGTTTGCGGGCCTGATTGAGGCCATGCAGGCGCTGCTGAAGTTCACTGCGGTAGTTCTGGGCCGCCTCGATGCTTTCTTTCGCCTCCTGCAGCAATACGTCCACCTCCACAGACATCCTCCCACCTCCTGACACACACACAAGAGAGGAGTATTTAGAAAACACAGCCAAGATGCAGGATAACCTGAAGCCAAGCGTTGGCCAAAAATTACGTTCAATTGTTCCTTCTAAATAAAACACATTGGTTTGAACCATTCCAATATCTATTTATGGCCATAAGAAGGCAAACCAATACAACAAGAGACATTACTACCTGTAGGTGCCCACTTGGGTGCATATTTTCAAGATTTGCCCTCAGGTTGCTAGTGTGCTGCAGTGGTAAGCTAGGCTAACTTTCGCTTATATTGCTTGCATACAAATTCTCAAGGTTTCACAACTTTCAGTTGTCAATCATTTCTGTCATTTTTCAAGCAAAAAAAGAGCAGATTTGTGCATTTTTATTTCATTTATCATTGGAAACTGTAAGGAGGAGGTGCCTCTTGCTGTTTAATAAGAAGGAGTTATATATGTGTCTGCTGACCACCTGTAAGGGCCACACAAACTATAAAACAAACATCTCTTTGCCGTCCAAGAAATAAGTTATAGTGTGGCTTTTTGTGCTCACTGTGGTGACCACTTCTGCAAAAAGTCATGTCCGGTTTAGCTAGCTATCTGATACTCATGCAAACTCCTAACTGGACTGATAAAGTTGGCGCAACAGCATTTGTGCATCCCCAGGACATCTACACCAGGAGTTTCCAGCAGCTGTACTAACATTAGCTACAGTGAACAATGCACAAGTCACTCCCATCATGTAGATAAGGTTGCGTTTTATCTTATATAAAACCAGTATAGTGCACTGTGGGGAGACTGGGATAACCTGTTTCATGTTTATTTAGTAATTTTACAGGTTATTTACTGTTGAAGGCTGCTGCCCTTTTGATGGGGGAAAAATGGGTTAAAATTTGTTTTAATATGTCCAACATGTCTAGTCTGATGTTCTCCAATGAAGCCTTGAAGTTGTACAGCATTGTATGCTAAGTTCAGTACTTTGGATTTTGTTGTGTTATGTTGTTAAATTTAAAGTAACTTGGTGTTTACTTAATCTGTTCTTTAATGTTCTATTTACTCTCATGTTGCAGTAAACAGGTCACGTTTGTGGTCAAAGATTAAATGTTTTTATCATTTGTTAGAAGACTACTCCATTTCATCAATTGTTCGGACTGTTGTTAACATTGCTAACTATCAATTATGGAAACCTGCATCCTCTACAAAAACTGTAAGGTACAACGCAACACACAAAGCTTTTGACTGAGAGATGTGTGGCAATTAGAAAACCACTTCCTGCAGCTACCATCGAGCAACCAGCCAACCAGTCAGTTAACAACACTACTATGTGGTTGACTTGGTTTCAATACCCAGCAGCTTGGGAGTAGACTGTTACTGACCTTTAAATTAAATTTGGATAAGGACTGCTCAGATTGGTCAATCGCTGATACAACACAAACCATCCTTGCAAAAATACAGCACAAAATAGGTACACTTACTCTGAAATACTGACTCATGTACAGCCAGTTTAATAAGCTCCTTCCTGTGACGTTAGTATCTGTTATCAAAGATCACTAGAATAACTGCATCTGGTTATTTTGGCTGCCTGTTAATGTCAAAGCCACTCGGTTTGTGGGAAAACTGATAGAACAGAACAAAGTAACATCAACACGATGAGCTCATGTAGTTTTAAAACAACAGGTCTGGCAGCTAAAACATCTGTGTTAAGGTCACTGCAGTCACAAACTACATAAGACTGTATCTTAAATGAGAGTTTGCAACTGAACATTCACAGCAATATGATGCATAAAAACACTTTTCCAACAGATTATACAACAGAATTCATTAAAGTAACAGAGCCAGCATACTTCTAAGTGGTTTGCATTGATAATATTCTCAATATCAATTATAGAGCATTAGTTTGGGTGCAAGACTTGAAAATTCTCAAAAAGACACTTCAACAAAAGGTGCTGCACCATCATACTGTAACAGCATAATTGCATTTGTAAAATAAGGTTTTGCAAGCTTTCATTAAAGATTAGCATGAAAATATATTGTTGATGCACTTTTTTTTTGAAGTTAATAGCACCATCATGAGCAGAAACTCCGGCAAAACAGCATGGAAATCTCTGTTCACCATGCACATAGAACGAAACTGAATATGAGACAAATTTCCTTCGTCACTACCCTAAATGCCTTCCTGTCACATAAGTCTATTTTGGTGAAAGAATCAATCGGACTTCAAACTCCAACAGACTATTTTCATTATGAAATATTCAATTTATCGTTCAGCCCATCACAATTTTGAATTATAATCTCAGAATTTATTTCAGTGACGATGACTGAATTTTCAATTAATGCATTTTGTGGCCGTTCTTTTTTTCTGCTTTAAAGTATTGTTAATTTGAATTCTTATTCAAATATCAGAGAGATATAGCCACAAAACTTTTGTAATATCACACAACAGGTGTGTAAAATTCTCTGCTGAGCGTCATCTTGCTCAGAGCTGAAAGTAGTGACACAACCTGGCCTCCTGCTGTGGTCGGCCAAACTTCCTTTACAGCATCTAAAGAGGAAGTCACTAACAGGTCTCATGCTTCTGACACATACAGTATGCACAGTATTATTATGTGGACCAGGTGGGCATCTTACATTACATTGTGGTAAATGTAGCATCTCATGATAGTAAATCCAAAATGAGTTAATGCAACACTCTGGAAAATGAAGGTCCAGAGTGCTACACCATCTTATAACCTTTACTTGCCATCTATAAAGGTAATAAACAGCTTTTAACAGCCAACTGATCATAAGGTGTGATTTCACGGTCTTATTACTCTCCTACAGTGAAGGATCTATGTTAGCGGGCACTGAACACAGCACAACCCCTCTGTAAATTTAATTCTGTAAATCTGTACATGTAAGGAAATGTTTTTGCTGTACACCTAAAAGATATAGAAAGACATAACATGTGATTTTTGTTACGTTATTTTAGGAAGATTATTACACACAAAATTTGCTTGTTTGGGTTCTTACCTAGAATCTGATGTATGGCTGCAGGTTAATGAGATTTTTATCTCACTTAATGGAATGATTTTTTTTGTTTCTTATAAGTTCAAGTTGATGTATTCAGGTTGTTTGTTTTGTCTGACTAGAAGCTAGAAGCACTGATTATTTGGCCTTTTTGCTTGATAAATGAGTTAAAAACAATTAATCAATTCTCAGAATAGTTGATCGGGTAAATCAATGTGTGTCAGAAATTGAGAAAGTGTTTAGTTTAGTTTTGCTTAGCACAAAGACTGGAAGCAGTGGGAAGCCTCTAGCCAGCTCCATCAAAGGTTAAAAAATCCACCTTCCAACAACTCTAAACTTATTTACATGTATCTTGTTAACAAGCCTGTCACCAATCAATCCTGTAGTTGGCTCAAACTAGCTCCAACACTAATAGCTGCTATTACCAAAGTGTATTGTCTTTACATTTATTTTCTTCTCTTGAATAAACAAGATCAAACGTGTAAATAGGTCAGCTTTGAAGTTGTTGGAAGGTGGTTAAAAGCTGAAGCAATGAGTCAATTATTCAAACAACAGAAAATTAATCTTCAGATATCTTGATTGATTAATCACTTAAATAATTATAATTTTTTTATATATAAATGCTACAAGCCTGTCAAATGTGAATATTTGCTGATTTGTCCCCTATGATACTGAAGTAAATATCGTTGGGTCTTATAGCCTACAGACATGTGGAGACGTCGTAATTCATCCTGAGGAAATGTGATGGACATTTTTTGATATTTTATAGACTGATGAAATCCATCGAGAAAACAATTTGCAGATTAAACTGTAATGAAAGAAAATTAATTTCCAACCATCACCTAAATTGATTGTCACAGAGCATTTTCATCAGATCGCACACAAAACACACAACCAGTTAACTGATCTACTGTTACAGCCACACTGCACCAAACAGAACTCCAGTACATGCATTTAAACACACATGAATGCAAATGTAGAGCTACATAATTATGCAGGCATGCACTCGCTCACTCGCTTTTACATAAACAACACCCACCACTAACATTGGTCAAGCCCCCTGTCACACTCCTTTCTCTCTGCTAACAAAGTGCCCAGAACAGCAGTCTTTAGTCCAGCCATAGCTACCCACAACACAGATTTTGTTTTTCTTTCTCATCCTCTAAAACGGGTACTGGCCCTCTCTCAATCTCTCTAATCCTGTAGTTTATAATCCCTCTTTCACTGCATAACCTACTAAAGACTAAGTGAATGCCAGGCGCTTAGCCAAGCAAACATCAATCTAGTTTTACTATGACACAGAAAATCTCTTGTCATTGTGTATGATACGGGTGCGGCCGCAAACAAACTAACAGAAATCTCTCTCTGTCTTTATTTCTTCTTTGCTTTTGACATAAACATGCAGCCACACAATAACCCGCAGTGTGCTTCTCAGAGTATTTAGGTCAACCTGCATGGGAAGATGTCCCACTATCCTGCTTTAACAGGTCTGTCAGACTGTTTATGGTGTCAGAAATATGTGCTTCCTATAACTGTAGTGACACAACCACAGCCTGGGGAAAAAAGTGACACGTTGTGTCTTTGATTTCACCGAATATTTCGGTTACAATCCAACACCGGAGTACATTATAAAGAGTTCTGTTGTACTGCTGTTGTGTGTGCTCACTCATTCTGGTTCATCTGTATTTTTATATTCCTACAAACCTACTGAAAATCTTAATCTTATTATTTTCGTTATCAATTGCCTATACAATTTCCTAAAATAATTCCCTATAGCCCAAGGTGATGTCTTCAAATGTCTTGTTTTGTCGTAACAGTTCAAAACCCAATGATATTCAGTTCACTATCATATATGACACAGGAAAGCACTAAATTCTCACATTTGAAAAGCTGCAACCAGGAAATGTTTGGTATTTTTGCTTAAAAAATTACCAAAATTATTATTCAACTATCAAAATAGTAAACAATGGACTAATCAATTAATCTACTAATCGTTGCAGCTCTAAATAATTACTCAAATTCCATAATGTTATGGTTTTATGGTTCCATTTCAGTTCTACAAGCCCCATCTTTCAATAAATGTCATCAGCAAGTAGTTTAGGCTGCATGCAACTCCTTCAGGAACGCTGCACATGCTCTGACTAACAGGAAAGTTATGAAAGGCACTCAAGTGCAAACCGACATCATTATTATTAGAGCAGACTACTGACAAAACGAGACAACAGGACACATCAGACATGTCTAAACTCGCTCACAACAACTTCCGTATTTTGTAGTTATTTTGATCAAGTTGAACCTCCGCCCACCGGCATTGATTGAAGATGCCCTGTCCTCTTCTTTAAGGTCAACGATGTAAAATCCATAATTACATAATTCACGCGTCATAATTTCTCCTATTTTCGTGCTGGAATATCATGGCGAGGCAGGTCGGCGGAGCTAGTCCTGATCATTTCAATTTGTCTGGTGTGTGGAGAGAAAATGCTCCCAAACTCCGTCAAGAAATCTCATATTTTTAAGTTGGCGCCACTGACAGAATACCCATATAAATCATTATGATGTTAATAAAGGTTTTCCTAAATAACCGATGTATTTAGGTAAATTCGGCGAAGAAACTTTTCACCAAACGACAACCTTTACCCATGAAATGTCAACTTAAAGCGATGGCTCGCGCTGCCAGCTAGGGTGCGTTTTAGTGAAAGATGATTACAATAACAGACGAACTAGCTAAAAAGTTACCCGTATCAGCTGAAAGTGAGACTGAAAGAGTGCCACTGGGGAAGTGAGGAGTTAACATAAGGCTACGTGTTATAAAAAATATGATTTTGACAATTAGCGAGACGGCAATACCACATCTTAATGCTGTGTATCGTCAACCTTTCTCAGTAACGTTACAAGACAAATTTGGGGACTAGCTTGTGGCCAAAAGACAATGAAACTCGGAACATATCAGGGAGAGCAAACAACGCGAACGAAAACAACGGCAAATTGGAGAAACTAAGAGTCCCCTTCTTATGTGGAGAAAAGTCTTCAAACGTACCTGTTTTAGTGCTTTATGGTGGCCATTTCGTCCTGAAACTCGTGAATCAGCTCGAAGCCGCCGCCACACCACCGCCGTTAGATATGATGAAGTTTTGCTCAAGTCCAAAAATTACACTTCCGAGGCTTTAAGGACAACAGCCAATCACAGGCAAAATAATTTCGATCGACAGGAAATTCGACCAATTGCATTGAGAAGTGCTCCCTTCTCCCCTCCCTAGTCAGCCGTCCCCCTTTGGCTGAAGTGGAACTGATGAAATGAATTGATTTATGTCCAAATCCAATCTACATGTTTAGAAATCAGAAATTTGCACCACCAAGTTAAAGTATTATCTTTGACAGATCCTCCATCTAGTCCTGATCTTGCAGTTACCCAGTGTGAAATCCTAGTTTTAAGTAAATTATTTTAGCTTATATTCTCATGGTTTGTTTTATCAAATTGCATTATATTTTTTCTGCATGTCAAGAAATTACAGGGTATCTGCAGGCCTTAAAGGTTTAAAATGCATTGAATTCAGTCCCCTCACAAAAGGCCTTCAAAGGTATTAAAAAGTACTAAATTCAATTCACAAAGGTGTTTTTTTCTTGCCTGTAGACAATAACATTAGTCATAGCTTTTGGCTGTTGGGAGATAGCTGCTCAGAGAGTTGTCAACTCAAAATGGGCAAGTATCCATCCATGATTTTGGCTACGTATCTATCTAGGACCAGGCATGGATGGATTCTAAGACAATGCAAAACACTCACTCTTCATATATGGAGCCCCGCAATAAAAGAGACACAACGACTGCAAGCTTCTGTTCTCTCATTGTGGTCATTTTTGTCTGTGTGGTCATTTTCCATCTCCGTGGGATAGTTCTGTCAGTCTTTGTACTGAGTTCTCTGACTTTCAAACAATAATACTTTAAAAAGTCACTTCATACAGAGGCTCTGGCCCAGGGGTGATAAGAGTAAAAACACAAACATCTCAAAGCTGCTGTGGAAACTCTGCTTATTCCCAGATGAACTTCAGAGACAGATCACAGAAACAAGACCAGAAGAGAAAAGAACAAGAACTGTGACAAGTAATTTATTAGTTTTCAAATGAACACATTCCTTTAATTAGTAGTATTAAGAGGATTCTAGATGTGTCCCCACATTAACACTTAAACAGCTCGAGAAGAAAAAAAAAACACCAAAATCATGTCCTCATAGGAAGAGAGGGTGTTGTACTGGAATGTCACTCCCTGATGTGGTCAAACCAAGATGATGCTCCAACTGTATTATTGTATAATGTATGTTAAACACATACTGTATTTTGTAAAAGAAGAATCAAATCATAAAGTTTAATATGAATCCTACTGACTTTGAAGATCCCATAACTTTTCCTTTAGCACCATCATGAGGTTGACATTTGTGGCTGTGAGTGAAAAGTTTCAACAACCAATTGGTTCATTTTTTTCTAACTCAATTGTCAGGTAAAAAAAATTTCCCATCAGCATCGGATTTACTTCATGTAAGCACACAGAGCCAATTGTCTGGCAGCAGATTTAAATGTCCTTACCTTACAGTGGAGTATATAGTTGCCAAATTATTTCAAATCCAGAATCCAGGAATTCAGTTCAAACTTCAGTTGGATTATTTGACTATTACACATAAAATAATGAGGTTCCTGTGTATTTTACAAATTTGATGACAGATTTCTTTAAAAAGAAAAGATGACTTTCAGTTTGACCTTAAACAATACTGGAAAGTTGCATGTCTCCCAAAATCTACAGAAACTGAGGCAAACTAGCATCGAGACTGGTCATAAGGAGGAAGTTTATATGAGAAGCCACATAGGCCAAAACTGAATACTTCACTTGCACTTACAAACATACTATCATGCGCGCGCACACACACACACACAGACACACACACACACACACAAATATATAAACACACAAATATATAAACACATACATTCATAGACACTTAATGCCAGATAAGATGAATGAAACGTGCTGCTGCAGATGTGCTTCTAACAGCTTAAGTATTTTTATAATCTTAATTAATCACATCTTTAATTTTTTATTTGATTCAGTAAAAATGTGCAGATTGAATTGTACATAAAAATAACACAGATCATATAGACAAGATTTTTATAAGACAGTACATGAAACTGTAGAATTGACATAGTAATTTTATTATTGACTTACAGTTCCTATCAGAAAAAGTATGATTTGAAACATGCTGCACAAATGTACTCATTAACTTAACTTAAAATCAGGAGAACTGAATCTAATTAGCTAACAGCTAACAGATACATTCTGATGATGTTTGATGCAGTGAGTTATCAACAGAGATGAATATGGTTCATTCACATAAAATGGATCTGACATCCGATCAGTCTTGAAATCTGCAAAAGGTACGAGAGTCTGTTCACTGAGCACTACTGCATAACACAAAGCTGTTTTTCTTTCACTTTTTCATCCACTTCATCAAGTGCAACTTCCTTTTCTGCTTCTCTTTGTTTCTTCATGTCCAGCTCCGGATAAAATGGCGTCTCCAGGATAGCTTCGTTTTTCTCTGATGCCAGCAGGCCCTGACACAGCGAGTCATGGATCCTCTGCCATGAGTCTATCTCTGAGCTCCAAAGCGCAGCTCTGGCTCTGATGAACCGTGAGACTTCAGTCTCACTGCCTTTGGCCAGACTGATGCTGTCTTTACAGATGAAGAAGATGTCCATGCCAAGGAAAAGAGCATTGACTGCAATGAGACTTGCCCTGGCTGACTTGGAGAGAGCAAGAGGCCCTTTGACTGCTGCCTGACCAATATCTGGGATGTCTGAGGCCACCCTGGGCACATTGCGTAATGCTTTACCTTCCTGGGCCACCACCTTACCAACACCTGTAATCAGCTCTTCACTTTGCAACAACTTAGCAGCAGAGGCAACATCAACTAATGCATCAATATTTTTTCCAACGACACCAGCTTTACAAAGCACCTTACTTACTTCCACAACCACAGTTATCTCACTTGTTTCTCTATTGGTCACCTCCTCCAGACAATCCTGGAGACTCTGTACATCCTCCATGAAGAGCTTCAAGACTTCACTGGCTTTCTTTTGTTGTGTAACGTTTACTCCAACCTCTGTGGCTGTGGTGACAACGCTGTTGACTCCGCTGGTGATGCCCAGCCCTACTCCTGTCATGGTCAGAGCTAGAGACACTCCTGCTGTTACAGGAATTAACGCCAAACCAATAATGGAAAGCACACCTCCAACTGCCCCCACGGAGCTGCCTGCCACACTGGAGATCTTTGCCCCCTTATTCATCCTGTCAAGCTGAACAGCACTCTCCTCCAGCTCGTTCAGAAACTGAAGCATCCTGGGCTGTCGCTCGCTGAACTCACGGATGAAGCCACATGATTCCTCCTGAAACAGGTACACTGTCCGGAAGTGTTGGTTCATCCTGATAAAGACAAAAGAGGAAATTTATTGAGAATAAATAATATAACACAACTTGTAATTTAGCATGCTACCTTTTTTTTGAAACACAGATTAGGAGGCTACAAGAAGCAGTAAAGTCACTATAGAACAGATTTAAGCAGAAATGGCAAATAAAATTACAAATAAAAAAAGGCAATGCATCCAATTCTAATAGTTACTTAGACATTTCACCCAAAACCATAAATGTTAAGATCACGATGGCGCTAGAGGAAAAGTCTGGAGAGCACCAGTCAGTATGATTCCTCCTCTGGGATGGTGCTGATGTCTGCATCATTTTTTAATGGAAATCCATCTAGTACTTGTTGAGATATTTTGACAGACTGTAATAAATTATGATAATAAAAACAGGTCTCTGATTGGACTGCAGTGTTGCTTGAACTGTGGTCTTTATACAGAGTAGGAATGTAAACAAATTCACAAGCAAATAATCTTTGCCCTGTACGTCTCTATTTTTTGTTTCTACAATATCAAAAAGTCTTCTGAAGATCGATAATGCTGATTGAGCTGTGTTGACATGATGTTTGGGACCAAAAAAAAAAAATATACATACATACATAGGGTAACACTTACCTGATTTCATCAAGCTGATTAATGTGATAAAGCATCCTCTGCATGTCATCTTCAGGCAAATCCACATCGAGGTCAACCAGAGTTTCCGTTGTCATCTTCAGGCAAAAGTCACTGAAGGAGCTGTGACAGACAGTTACACTTACTGTCTACAGTAGATGTTTCTAATGCAAAATCTGCATATTAATTTGTTCATGAAATTTTCTGTTTACCTTTTCTCTAACTTCGTGCAGATTTTCTGGGTGGTCTGTATGTATCTGTCCAACTGATACGACACCACTTCCACATTCTGAAGTCTGGGAAGGAAGAAGACTTGCGCATCTCTTTTAAACTCGAGGAGGAGGGGGCAGATTAGTCGCGCAGCAGCGATGACAACCTGAACATGTTCCAGGGCGATCCCCTTGGGCAGATGTAACACCTGGTTCTCCATGAACACATGAAGTGAGGTGACCGCCAGCTTCTCCACTGCATCCAGGAAGCAGTCGAGCTTCTCCAGGCCTCCCAGAGTGTCCTTCAACACAGCAGCCAGCTCCTCCTCCAGCTCTGCACGCCTGCTGTCTGCAGTCACCTGGGTCACTTTGCTCTTCATATATTCCAAAAAGGCCTTACCTTTCTCCTGTGACTGGGTAACATGGTTGACATTTAAATCGATGTTGTCAACCCTGTTTTTGATGTCCATCATCATGTTTAATTCTGTCTCCCTCTTGAGCATCCATTTAGAGATCTTCTCACAGAATCCTCTCACTGAGTCGATGAAGATGAGGGTATCTGTGATGTAGCGGCACAAAGCCTCCTGTAGTTCCTTTCTATAAGACAAAACATCAAGGTTCAGGTTTACAGTCATTTTGTGTCTCTTCGTGGTTATTTTGTTTCTTTTTGTAGTTGTTTTGTGCTTTACAGGGGGACAGAACAACCACTAGGAGGTACAAACGACTACAATAAGACACAAAATGACTACACATCAACAAAATGACAACAAAGAGACAAAAAACAAATAGTGTAGTTTCACTACTGACTTCCCACTGCCTGGACAAACAGCTCTGGACATTCTTGGACTTGCACTTTTAAGATCATGATTTTTTTTTTGATTGAACACTCTCCATATACTCATCAGATTTGGTGTCCTAAAGCTTCTGATGAGATGTAACTACAGTTTTTCTAAATTTCCAACAAAACTTTCAAAGTTCTAACAGCAGACTTTATTATCCTGGAATATGTGTTACATTCACAATCTTTAACCACTTCAGAATATTATCTGGGACAACAGCAATATTGCCGTCAATAATAGGAGTGTATATAAAGAGAATTTATTCCAACAAAGGATTGGGTTCATTTTATCCATTAGTCACTTTAAATTCCCCAAACCAGGTATTTTTTGTGTGTGTCCTCATAAATTGTGTATTGCAACTAAATTACTTATAATTACACATGCTTCATTTATACACAAATTATACGATGTTAAAATAATTAAAAACCCACATGATGAATCTAAAGAGTTGTATGACAAATAAGATATACAAGAAATACATACAGAAAGCAAAACTAAATATATCTCTTATGCTGTATTTTTAATTTTGGCTTTTTTTTACTTAAAATAATGGTCAATTTAACCTCCTCAGGCCTCAATTAAAACTTCCAGATAAAATTAAGAAAAAAGACACCTGCTTTGTTTTAATGCTCATAATGAACGGGAGCTACTGTTCTACATAATACGCCTATTCATCAGAAGATATTTAAAAACATGTCAACGTGTCACACTGTAAAGCCTTACTGGGACACTTGAATATCATGGCGCCATCATTAAGGTTATTATATAACAACTGTGACTTAATTACTGTGAGACAAAATGTCTGCTGTGACAAAGGTCTGCACAGAGTGAAACAGTTTTTTTTTGCTTTTCATCGCATTTGCACAGTATGACCAGCAGATGTCGCCAGACCACACATAGTTTCACAGTCATGCACTGATTAAAGCACCAAGTTCAATGTTTCAGTAAGTTTCATTTTTGCCATCATTGTGTAATATCCTACAGATTATTTGGGTGTGATCATTTGCAGTTAGAAATACTCAATTACACATAAAAGTCCAACAAAATCCAACGTAAGTGCAAATTAATATCAGCGAAATATACTTCACGTAGGCTATCAAAAGTAAAAGTAAAAGTATTGGCCCACATGACAATAAATGATTATCAGATCGCATTTTATGTTAATGCATCAAAGCATAAGTAACAATTAACTGTTGTAGCTGGTCCAGGTGGAGCTATTTTTAACTACTGTAATAAGCAATGTGGTCCAGTGCTTCCCAAACTAGGGGTCAGGAGCCTCCAATGGGTCACAAGATAAATTTGAGGGGTCATGCCAAAAAACAAAGGTCTGATGCACGTATTTATATTCATATCTCTGACTTTTCTCTAAGCTTAATTTACATGACAGTATTTGAGAAGTTTAGAGGAGAAAAAACACTTTAATGGAACTGTTAACAACTCATAATCTGAAACATGACAGACGACCCAACACAGTTTGAAGAGGTTTTGTATTAAAATTCAACAGAATACCATTTATTTTGTTTGTTTCTTTTAAATGTAAAATTTGTATTTGGAAAGTAACTTGTCTCTTCAGCTGCCACATACATGTAGAGGAGTAAAAAACTTTACTCCCTCTGAAATGAAGTGAAGTAGATGTATAAAGTGGCAGAAGTAAAAAAAACAAAACAAAAAGAAAACAAGCTCTTGAGGAATGTGAGTGTGATCTATGACACTCAAATCTCAGATTTATTCATAACAACGTATTGTTTATCTTAAAATATCTTTCTTGTGTATTGGGGTAAAATGTCTGCCCACTATTCGGTACACACTCTTCTTAAACCTTATTTGACCCTATTCTGTACAGAAGCAACTTTACCTTGCAGCAGACATTTCCTCCTCTCGGGGTGAAGTCTTCAGTTCCTCACTGGGATCTCCTCGCGTATTTTGTATTACATGAAATAAAAACAGAGCAAGATTGGAAATCTATTGTTTACTGTCCATCACCAACCCGCTTTTGGACTAAATATGCTAAACAACATCGCTACTTCGTAAACAACTTCGACGGGTGTTGTTAGGTTTCGTTTTCGTTTTACCACATCAGCATGCCGAGCGACGCCCAAACGCCTTCTTTTAGCAGGCTCAACCGGAATTTGGTGGCGGACAGAAAGTCTAAAGCCAAAGTTCAGGAGGCGGTACCATGAGCGGCACAGCTTTTCCATCAGCGCCTACTTCCTCATGCTGCCCTCACGTACTGACGTGCCTCTTTGTTCGTCCTATAGATGCAGTCAAATCACAAGAACAGTGCAAGTGCACAGAAAATAGATATATAAAAAAAAAAAACTACAAAATGAAAATAACATAAAAGACTTGAGCAAATGTGTTTATTGTACACAGTAATATTATTAAATGAATTCACTGTGAGATATTTACCTGTACTTTGTCATTGTAGAGGAGGAAATCAGGGGGATATTTGTGATTTTAAAGAATAAATAAGTGTGTAGTATGTACATCAAGTTAGGGTTCTCAGACAAAAGAGCACTGCAGACTGCTGGTTGAAGTTCTTCTCTCGAAATCTATTCTGTTCCCACCAGAGTTTACCTTCTGTCAGATAGGTTGAGGTAATGATTAGGTAATAGGACAGACTCTGACACAACGAGGTGTTTTGGTACAGGAACAAACAACAGTGTGGATTTGCATGATTTGCATAATTTGCATATTTTTGTGGTATCTATCGTCTTGACTCAGTTCTAACTGACTATCAGAGACTAAAAGAAAGAAAGAAAGAAAGAAAGAAAGAAAAGGAAGGAAGGAATCAGTACCTGTAAGTTTGAGACAAATAACAACACACCACCACAGCACACTGGCACTACACTCACAAACCTCACACACTGGGAATGAAACACATGCTGACCCCAGTCAGAAATCAGCTGATAACCATGTGACTTTCACTGACAGCCTGGCACAAACAAAAAAACAATTCCTTAAAGCAACACTGCAGAAGAGAAACGAAGAAATAACTCATTCTTTCTCTAACTCATGAAAAGTTGAATTCATAAAGAACAGTGGAGGAAGAAGTAGTCAAAAATACAAATACCCCTTGATAGAAATACTCTATGACTAATACATTCAAGGTTTTACTTGAGTAAAAGTAGAAAAATACAATCAGCAAAATGTCAAGTATAAAATATGTTGGCTGGTCAAAATGATCCCCTGTTATATTATCACATACAAATTATCTTAAATAATATTAGTATTGATGCATTAACATGCATAGCCTATTAATGCTGCAGGCATTCAAGGGGGAGATCATTTTAACAGCTTTATGATCTGTTGATATAGTTAAATCTATTAGGATGCGTTTTGTTTGTTTGGGGGGTTTTTTTTCATCTTTTGGGGGTTTTACTGCTACAGCCTTACTTAGTCTGGTTTGACCAGTAGCTAATGTTAGCTAATCTGAGCTAACTCAAGATAGATATTGCTGTGTTAATGACAATGCTGAGTCAGTAAACCTGGATGGATTAAAGAACAGGCCAAGGAGCCCAAGAGGTCAGGGGGCATCTGCTTCACCTAAAATATGTCATTGCAAGCGACGCAATACTACAATGAGAAGAAAAATGACCTCAAAGAGACACAATGAAGACACAATGATGCATGACGCACAACAACTACAAACACAAAACAACTAGAGAGAGACATCAAACTACAAGGAGGTGCACAATAACCATGAACAGACGTAACATGACTTGAGAGACAACAAAAAAAACAAGAGACACATAATGACCTCAAACACAGCACGACTACAAAGAGACTCAACATGACTACACAGAGACACAAAACAGCCACCAAGAGATGTAAAACAACCACAAAGAGACAACAAATACTTACAAAGAAGCACAAAACAACGAGGTTGTGGTTTGTGGTCTCTCTCAGGCTGCAGACTTGCTCTTATGTAGGAGGGTTGAGGGATCTTTTACGCCAGTGCACCAGGGCCTGTTGTCTCATAATCTTACACTAACTTCTTGTATCTTACAATCATTTAAGTTTATCCTTAAATTAAAACAAGAAGTAAACACACTATAATTCACCAGAAATTAATGAAAAATTCAGTGGCTGTATACTGTTATTTCTACTGGTTGGCAGCATATAGTCTTGCTCCAAAGCTCCCTCTAGAAAAGGTTAAACAAAGTCAAAATACCTCTCTGATATTAACTTTTTTATGACATTTCAAATATTAATCAATTATTCTTGTGTCCCTGCTGCTTGATTTTTTTCCATGACCACAGAAACAGCTGCAGAAACTCTGTCATCTCAACACAACATGCCGTTGAGTCAATAGTTTCTGTTTTCATTCTTGACAAGATTTTTGTTTAGAAGTTACAATATCAGATTTTCACTATATGATTACACAAAAGAATTTATGATAACATTATTATTGTGATATCTGTAGAAAACTTAAAAAAACAGAAGCTCATCAGTCAAATGCATTTTTAACTTGTTTATTGTGTGTTTTGTCTTTTTTTGACAAATCAATTACGCTCAAATACGAAAGTAAGGAGGCGGAGAGAGTCTGTAACCACAGCTGTAAGTGAACAAAAAGAACAATTACATTTAATGGATAGTGAAAAGGCAACCAGATGAACTGATAAACAAGAGATCCACAAGTCTTAACATTTGCCATCACAATATTATCATGTGTATTATTCACACAATATCAGTTCATTTAGTTAATATCACGGTTATCATCAACAGCAGTATATCGCACCACACCTAGTAGTGAGTACTAGTATCTGAAAACAAGACATTGTGAGGCAGATCATTGCACTGTTACATCAAGAAAAAAGTGATTGTAAAAACATTGTGATATGTGCTGCTGATGCTGTGGGTAAAATAAAACGAGAAACGAGAAATAAGAAAACAGGAGGGACTCAAAAATTGAAAAAAGGACTCACAATGACATAAAATGGCTTGTTAAAATAAAGATTTTTGGGGATGTTGAGAATGTTGAACCTCAATCTGACCGCAGAAATTCCTGTGTGAGAGTACGCCGAGGCAGCGGCCCTGTGGAGGCACAGTGCCTAAATCACAAAAACAGTTTTGCACTTATTAAAAGACTTTAAATAAAAAATATATTTTTGTTTTTTCAAAATAAATAGAACAATTGTTCCCATCTCACAGTCCACTATTGGCAAGGTAGAAATATATGTTTGTGTGTGTGTGTGTGTGTGTGTGTGTGTGTGTGTGTGTGTGTGAGGGGGTTGGCAGTAGGCTACAGGGACATTCACGTCAAAGCGCTCACTCAGCTGCACTCGGCTCAGCGCAGACACCCGGGGATCAGGGTGGAAACGTTGCTGACATGGCAGTGTCCTCACACACACAAGACAGCAGCAAAACATCGGCAGAACACGCAGCAACATGGCAGCAGTGCTGGAGGGTAACTAAGTACATTTACTCAAGTACTGTACTTAAACACTACTTGAGTATTTTCTGCTATGATGTACTTTTACTTCACTGCATTTTGGCAATTATTGTCCTTTTTACTGTTTACTAAATTGTTCTATAGCTTCAGGTACTTTGTACTGTAGATTCAGATTATAGTTTTTACAATTGTCCCCTTTTTCAGAACTGTTCAGACTGTTCTCTTTACCAACACTTCTCAGTTAATCTCATGTCCATATTACATTAATGCAACCAAAACACTTCATACTCGTCTCAGGATCAGCTCACTTACCTAGAACAACACTGGCAGGTACCATCACAGTTGGGATCACTACTATTGTATTTATTTGACATAAACAAAGGTTCCATTACAGCGAAAACAAGGGTACTTCTTTATTGCATGGATTGTACTACCTTACATTAAATGTCACAGAAATGAATTCTGCAATATTCTTCAGTTGCCTTTAGTTTTTTGCAAAGAGTAATTTCAAATGTAGAAAATGAAAGTAAAGTCATTCCAGTGATGTAGATTCAAAACTATTCATGTTCACTATGCACACTTCAACCCTGTCTTCTGCATTTGGCCAGAAGTTCTCACCCACCTCACACCTTATGTCTTCTCTTCAGTTCACCTGGGAAATAATCTTTTTGCAGCCTGATCCATCCTGACAATCCTCTGCAGACCTGTACAAACCTCCAGCATTCACTGCGTCCAGTGGAGACATCACGACAGAGACAACAGAGACACCATGTTTGTCAGTGGTTGAGAGATTCATGAATTTTGAAAGGCGTGGTCAATGAATGCATTTTGTGTGATAGCTCTGTTTAGTCTGCATTGACTGCTGCTGTGCTGACTGTGTGAGGAATTTTGAAAAACTTAACTCCGTATCGACAAATGTGTGTTAGCTATTGTAAAAACCTGACAGTGACAAATGTTTTTATGGAAATGGTCCCACTCAAAGTTAATAAGGAGCACAAAATCCTGTTAGCTGCCATCATAAAAACCAAAAACATCTCTCCTGTGTATTTAAAAAAAAACATCCGATCTAACCCCTTCCAACTACTCACTGAGCAATCTAATCTGCGTTCCTGGAGGGAGGAAATGTTTTTAACCCTGGAGACCACAGGGCCCGTGGGTGCATCTTCACCCAGAGATTCCAACTAATCAGGTTCAATTACTGAAGATAGAAACAAACGTTCAAAGTGCGACCATCTTTAAGAGAGCCTCTGTTTTTTCTTCTCCAGAGCACAAATTACAAGAAGCGCTCCCTGAGCCAATGCTCGAGGGGTGTTCTAACAAGGCCCTGATTAGGGCTGGATTTGCAGCTTGCTGAGTTAATGTCAGATTGGCATAAAGAGTCCACGTGGGACCAGTGCGGGTGCAGGCCTGGGACCTGATTTGCGCACCCTCCTCGCCTGTCAGGGATAATTGTTTAATGAAAGCGAAGGGTGTCCCAAATCCTGGCAGAGAGGGAGAATCAGAGAGGTCTTTAGTCAGAGCTCAAGGTCTCTCTTCAGGGAAAAGTGTTGGATCTGTGAAAGAGACTGCTTCAGTGAGAATTTACAGTATTTTCCTGTAGGATGAACACTGCATAATGTAGTTGTCAGTAGAAAATTCATTCAAATACTGTACTTAAATACAATTTTGAGGTATTTTACATGAGTATATTGATATTTCTATACAGTTTTAGTTATACTAGCTCCT